TAAGAGGATTTTGCAATATGCATCATTATGAGAGTTGTTCATACATCATGCTTAATTATATTATTGTGATTTTGTAGAAATAACTCCAAATAAGTCTATTCTCTAAAGAAAGAGGCAACATACAAAAGTGGGAGTTCACTTTGCAAGAACCTGAGAACATACTACCTTAAGAGCAACCACATGCTATACAAACATCGACCACTTCTGTTGTTGTTTTTGACATATTCAAGTTTAGGAACTAAGGTAAATATAAAGGTTTTTAGAATTAAAGGCAAGGGAATTGTTGTTTGAACGAAATGTGTGCTTAGAAGAAGAAAAATTTACTGAGTTTACAAATGAAATAAATAGGAGGAAAAAAATATTTCTTGGCAAACCTCTCAAATACGATTGGTGAATACATAGTTAAAGAATTTTGTGTTAATGCATTGTCCTCCTCACCTTATAAGAGAGTTGTGCCACTACCAATAGAGGACAACGCACACAACTGTATTTTTGGATGGGAATGTAGCTAAGACATTGTGTATTTCCAACAAATCCTATGAAACAAATCATGAAGGCAAGTCAATGAGCTTCAAGAAAAGGAGTAAGATTTGGACCTCATTTTTGTTAACATTACTCTAACCACTCATACATCAGATGTGTGCATGCCTTGAGCCTACATCATCTACAACTATGGAGAGGATAACAATGGACATTTCAACTATAACATCTGAGGAGATTTACCAGTTTGTGATGTCCAACCCATCCCTTTCAAAAGTTAGAACAGAACTCTTAAGATTTCTAACATTGATCACTACTCTTTGTGCTGCCCAAGGTGTTTAGATACTAAACCCTTCTATATCAACCATCAAATTGAAATAGTCCATCAACACCCACTTTATCAATAATTATTGCACCAACCCATTGAAGTAGGGACATGCACCTTCTCATCATTTTTCATCAGTGCCACTAATAGAACCACCATCCATCCCTAACATGACACCCATGGAGTATTACCTTACACAATATCTAACTCAAATGTAGTAGTAGATAGAGGTTAATCATCGCTATACACATATCCATTGCCAAATGGTGGCAAACCATCTAACATACACACATTTGAATGAATCATTTTACTACTTTTCCTTACATCAACATCAAGGAAATATTTCAATATTCTTATGGCCTACACCTGAAGAATTTGCAATACATGTCTCATGGTTTGGAGACACCTTATCTTTTCAAATGAGCCCAACCAATATGAAGAGGATGCAAGACATGAAGAAAAAGAAGCAAAACCAAAGGCTGATGATGGTGGTGATGAAGGAGGCCACACTGAACAAGGAGTGACAAAAGAGGCTCAAGAGGATTAGACTAATGAAGAGCAACATGGTACGAAGGAAAAATACCATATTTATGAGGATCAACCTGTACATAATGGTGTTGATGAACACGAACTATGATTTTAGTTTTATTTTTACCTTATTTTATTTTAGATTTTAGTAAAAGTTTGATTTTGTTTCACAATGTATTTTGTTTGAAGGACCTCTCATCAAAAGAAATTAATTATAAAATTTCTATGTATAATATAAATATCTCTTTTCTCATGTTTATTCTTTTCTAAAATTTGTTTACTTGTTGTATTAGAATTCTAATATTTTGGTACTTTTCCACTTATTTCTATATTATTTGCTTAAGCAAAGTAAAATTCATTTCAGCGCACATAATTCGCTTAAGCTATTTTTTTGTCACTTAAATAAAATCAATCTCGCTTAAGTTATTTAACTTTTGCTTAAGAGAATGTAAATTTATGAAAGATTGTACTCTCTATTCAATTTTTGCTTAAGATGATTACATTTCGTTTAAGTGAATTATAGTTTACTAAAACATAACTTTTCTCACTTAATCCAATTTCACTAACCTCAATAAGTGATCTTTGTACAAAAATTACTCTAATTGGTTAATACTTGCTTAAGTAGTCATTTGCTTAAGTAGATGTTTCCTCACTTAAGCGAGTTTCACTACAACTATTAATTAGTTGCTTCAACATTCGTTTAAGCTAACCTCAATGTTTGCTTAAACTAATCTATTTTTGTATTAAACATAAATTATAAAAAAGAATTAGACATATATTTTTTATATAAATTGTAAAAAATTTGGATTCATAATGGAATATGATTTTTTCTTTTTCTTTTTTATTATTATATGTCTCTCAAACAATTATACTTGAGTTTGAAGAAAAAAGCTTGAGCATTTTATCATCAAAATTCAATCTTTGATAATATAACTTTCTCAATATGTTTCATAATTTATAAAAAAAGAAGAAGAGGGTGAGTGAAAATTTTAATTTCAAAAGTAAAGTATTTTTTTTATCTCATAATAATAGAGATATCAAAATCATTGAAATTAGTTCGCCCATATTAATTTAATATGAATTGAATTATAATTAATTCAATCTAAGTTCACTCACGTTAAGAAAAATGAACTTTAACTCAACCTAGTAATTCAGTGAGATAGCTCTTCATTTATATAATATAATTTTTTTAATATAAAAGTTATGTCAAATGAACTTTTTTATTGAATAATTAGCATAGAAATATTTGTTCGATAAATTAGAATAATTTATTTATTAAAGTATAGTATAACATAAATGAAAAAATGTATTTAATATATTTTAAATAATAAATTATATAGGAATAATATATAACCTATTTGTATGTTCTGTATGAAATCTAGCGTAGACCAGTTATTTCTTCCGGTTCTTTTTGTACGTTTTTGTATTGACTTTTAATATAAGATTATTTACAAAATTTTAGAATTATTTAATATTCTTTATATATTTATCCTTCGTTATTCAACCTTTCTAATTTTTTAATAATTAATATAATAGTAAAATTTAACTTTAACTAAAATAAATTTAGAATATTATTATCTTTTAAAAAATTAATATATTAATTATTTTAAACATTTTTAAGTATGTATTATTTAGTTAATTTTTCTATAAAAAAGATTAAGAGAGTACTAGTTAATGTTTTATGTTACACACAATAAACTTTTCATTCATATGCATAAAACTAAGGAAAAAACTAAGGTGCAGTACTATAAATACTGTTGATGCTATTTTTCAATCTGTGTTTTGGTTTTACTTTAGTAATATGTATTGACCTTTAATGTTAATGTATTTACCTTTAATGAAAACTTTTGTTATGCTTATTACTGTGAAACTTCAGCTTTAATTGAAGAACAACACCAACACATTTAAATTTTGTCCTAAAAGTAATAATCACAAAGCAGTCAGGTCACCCTTCTCCGACGAGGAGATTCATATTCATATTACTATTATTTAACATAGAAAAAAAGATTGCCCCTGAAAATATTGTACTCGACATTATTTAATTTTATACAAAGTTTACTGTTGATAAATATAAAAGAATATGAGATTACTATATTAGAAAATTTGATTATTGTAATGCTTTCTTAGCTAAGGCCTTTAAGAGGACGGATAAATATTTCAATATCTAAACTAAGTAACCTCTTACCATTTTGTTTTCATTTGTAGGTTTTTTTTAATTTCCAATAAGGGTATTCCTTTATTGATATATAATAAGTTCTAGTTGAATGAATTTTTTGAGAAACTTTTATAGAAGAAATATTTGTATTAAAATAAAATAATTTTTTTCATAAGTTAAAAATGATTTATCTTTTCAAATTTTAGAGAAGTTAAATGAGAAAACTTTTCAAAAAATAGAAAAATATAAGTTGTTTCTAACTTATAAGAGAAAAATTATTCATTCTTTATATTTTTTTTTCCTATTTTGACTTTTCTAAAAGATTATTCAAAGTAGCCTAATTTTTTTTTTATTTACACAATATAACTAGTTTTTTTAGCCAAAAAATTTGTGGAGGTCTACATTTATCAAAAGCTTCTGCTATAACCATAAAAAATTGCTGTTATAGACTCTTACAAATTACTCATGTAAGAGTATAAAAGAATGGAATAAGAAGTACTTTATTTATTAAAAACCAAGTCATTTTAACAAGAGATTACCCCATATTGGCAAAAAAGTCTCATTTGTATGAATTTATTTGAACAATTTTCTTATTTCAATGAGCTTTACTTGTTTTTTACTTTTTACTGACAGTTTTTGTGTCCCCAACCTTCATTCAATTGTAGATGGTTTGTATTCCACTGCTACGAAATTGTGGTTCAATACTATTATTACGAGGAGGCTATACAAAAGGCAAAAATAAACAGATAAGGACTTGAGCCATTGATGGTAGAATTTTATTTGTCATATTAATTGAATGATTCAAGAGCTATTTTCTGATGCCAAAATGGGTAGGAAACACTAATTTGGAGAGACTTGCCTTAGAAGTAGGCTTTTCTTCTGTCCACCATTATGAAATCAATGGGGGCTTCATGGGGGTGGTGATACGTTAAGTTAGATGAAATTAACGGAATTTATTTCCTATGCTTTGTTTTCTCTTTTCACCCTTGATTGGACTGTGGTCCAGTTGTAAAAGAAAAAAAGAATTGCTAAGCAGTGCTTTAAGAGGAATCAATAAATAAATAAATAAAATTATTGCAAATTATGTTAGAAATGTATTGAAGATAGTAAGGGGAGAGTATTATTTTGCAGTTTTTAAAAAAATTTCACTTTTAATGTTTTAATCGGCAGTCGGCAATTAGTAGTATTTGTCAAAAAAAGAAAAAGAAAAAGAAAGATAATGCAATCAATCACTATTAATACATACCAAAGCACAAATAATAGTAGTTTGTAATAATAATACATTCTTCCTTCAATGAAAAATGGTATCCAAACGTGTAATTTATACACCATTTGCTTCCTATTACTTCCTTGGGGAATTTGGCTTAGCAGTTTTCCTTGTATGCAGCCATTGAGTTCAAATGGTAACTATTCAAAATTTCAAATGCATTGCTAGCAACCTTCATTCTTCAACCAAACAAAAGCCTGGTTCATATCTTTTTGTTTAGTGTGGTTGTCTCTGCATTCTTTTGGTTACCTAGGGTAAAATGAGCTATGAGACATAGTAGCCAATGAGTCTGCTGCATTGAGAGGGTAAAATTGGTCATCCTTTATATCATGGAAGAGTTCCATGGTACTTTCATCAATGAAAGGTGGATTAGAGGGTGCTGCCAGGTTCTCCTCTTTCTTTGTTAGCATTTGTAGTGCCTTTGACATAGTTGGTCGTAAGGAAGGGATTTCTTGGGTGCATAAGAGTCCTATGTGCACCACTCTTAAAATCTCATTCTTAACATTGCTTCTGTGATCCTCCAACACTAGATGTGGATCAATTAGTTGTTCTGCAGTTCCTGAGTTAAAATGCTTCCATGTCTGATTTTGACAGAAGATGAAAGAAAAGGATACATTAGTTCACCATGCAATCTTGTTTTGATAAAAAGATATGTACAGTGGAAAAACAATTTGAACAAGTTAACTTATATTGTGCAATTTTACCATTATAATTAGGCTATCTGAATATTCTGATGCTTTGCTCCTGTTGTTCTGTCTCCCAGTAACTATTTCTAGCAGCAACACTCCAAAACTATATACATCAGCCTTCTCTGTTAACTGACCATGTGCTAGGTACTCTGGAGCCATATAACCCCTGTAGGCGCATACATATATAAATATGAATATACCACTATTTCAGATACCATAAATTGTAGTTACTGATTTCCTAAAATAGTGCTTGGTTTATCCTAAAATTTGTTCAATGATGATATGTTATTAGTTGTCAAAAAATGCATTATTGGTAAGAAATACTAACAAAGTTGAGTGTTCCACTGTTTGAATACAATAAATGGTATAGGTAGTACTACTAATTTGTTCAAATTGTTATGTTATTGCTTGTCAAAAAATGCGTTAGTGGTAAGAAATACTTACAGAGTTCCAGCAATAGCTGTACTAATGTGGCTCTTATCTTCTTGAAAGGACCTGGCCAAACCAAAATCTGCAATTTTGGCACGAAGCTTTGCATCCAACAAGATGTTGCTGGCTTTGATATCTCTGTGAATTATCCTAATTTTGGAGTTGTCATGAAGGTAAACCAGTCCTTCAGCTGTCCCAGTGATAATGTCGTATCGCCTGTCCCAGTTTAGTTCCCTAGCTTTTCTTTTATCTAGCATGTATAGAAAAAAAAAATTGTGAAAAAATTTTAATTGACATTTCATGAATAAATTTGAAAAGAAGGCATTTTCAATTTTGAAAAGGGACATCATAATCCTCGAGTTTCAGTTATTACCAAATATGAAGCGATCAAGACTTCTGTTAGGTAGAAATTCATATACAAGTAGGCTTTCAGGTCCTGAACAACTGCATCCTAAGAGTCTTACTAGATTCTTGTGTTCCACACTACTAATTATGTTGACTTCGTTGTAGAAATCTGCTGCTCTATGTTTGTTGTTGAAATATAACCTCTTGATAGCAATCTCTCTTCCATCAGCCAGAACTCCCTGCAATAGCAAATTGTTAAGAGTGGCTTTGATATGTAAAATGGCAGTGGAAATGTAGGTTTGTAGAGGCAATGATTACTTTATAAACAGTTCCAAATCCTCCTTGCCCAAGCTTGTTAACTTCAGCAAAAGATTCAGTAGATTTCACCAGTGTAGAGTACTTGAAGTTCAAGCTATTGTGGTGAAGGCTCTTAGCTAATTTCTCAACATCATTTGAACCTAGAAAGAAGAATGAAAATTGAGATAAGAAACGTGTTGAAAAGGGTTTTGATATAACACAATGATGATTTCACATTTTGTTGATGGGGCAAGGTCATATTACTACAAACAATTTCAAATATCTACGATTAGGGGACTTGAAATGGTGTCATTGTGTTCTTTCTTTGACATTCTTTATAAAAGCAAAGGTATAAATAAGTCATTTACCTCTTCGTTTCCTTTGAATGTATTTGAGTTTGCGGATATAAACCACAATAGCTATTCCAACCACCAAAACAACCACTGCACTAACTACTGCAATCACTATCACTACTACATTACCTGCACAAGTCAGCAAAATAAATTCATAATCAAGATTTACTTGTAAACTTTTCACAATGCTATATAAGTTTCATCCTAACACAATAAGCATGAGACGTTATGAAAATAGCTTATCTGACAAGTTATTTTCAGTTTATTTCAGTAAGCCTCTTTATATAGCTTATAAAAACAAGCTCTTTTAGCTTATGTCAGTAAGTTATATGGTCTTATTTATGATATAAACCTATAAGAGTTTATTGAATAAGGGCTTAATTAAGTTGTTATCCAAATGAACCCAAAATCATAATACTCAATTATAGTGACGAAAAATGCAACTTAATGTACCTCTTGAACTTTCATTTTCCTGTTCCTTGTTGAGAAAATCTGTGTCCGAGTACCTCATGAAGCATCCAGTGTTCAGTGCTCTCCCTTCTGACCAGGGCAAGCACCCCAATAAGGAAGAAGATGCATTCTCAAGACAAGCTTTACAAGACCTTGTGTCCAAACTCCTCCAACAATTAGCCAAAACATAAGCTGAATCATTTGTTGTTCCTGACACAACCACCTTCTCCCTAGCATAACCTTTGTTGTTTGGTGCAGCTTGAGTTGCACTCAAAACAGCCTTCTTTGCTGCTGCTTGAAAACTTGTGTTCTTCTTTGTTGAGTTTCCACAAACAGACTTGTCCCCTGGTCCAATATACTCATTATAGAAACTATAGTTTTCAGCCCTCATGAAGCAACCATCAAGGTATATGCGACCACCATTATAAGGGAAGCACTGTGGAAGAACTGTGCGTGCCTCAGCATAACATAACACACAGTCAAGTAATGAAAGATCTCCATAGCACTGTGCCATCCCGTAGTTAGTGTCAGGTCCTCCTGCGCCTACAACTGCTGTGCCATAACCAGTGTTGCGCATTTGTTCACTGATCTTCTCCATAGTTGCAACAAAATTTGGAACAAAGATTGTGGTGTTGTGCTCTAGCTTATGGTTGCATGTTATTTTGACAGTCTTGGCCCTTGGTTCTGCCATTACTGTTTTTGATAGGAATAGATGCTTCGTGAGAAGAAAAACAAGGCACTGAAAATAGACAAGATGGACTATTTTCTTCATCTTTTAGATGATTGAATCTGAATCACTTTCTGTGGTAGTGATAGTTGGGCTTCTCAACTAGGACCTGCAGGAAAGGAGGGTTTAGAATATGTATGCTACATTGCTTCTGATTATAGAAGAATATTTGACCAAAACCAATAGTGCACTTTATATGTTGGAAGACTAATCAAAGTCACTTCTGATCTTTTTGGCTTTTTATAAGTTCCTTTTAGCTTATTTCACTAAGTTCTATATTAAATTTAAAATTATAAATTTAAGATTAAACTCATGTATGATAGACATTACACTTTCAGAAGATAAGAACTTATATTTAGCACCCTAATTAAAATTGTTGAGATATGTTTCAGCAAGCCTAACTTCTACTGTTGAAGGCCATCATTAGCACAAAGAGATGCTATCCCACTAACGTTAGATTACAAAAGTTTTCTATTCCTAAAGAAGAAAGGCACTTGCAGACAGGAAGCTACGAAGTAGTGTGAAAGGACAGGAACCCAAGTCGGCACACAACTTTCTTGTTGCCATCCTTCAAGTTTCACAAGAAGTGGGCATTAAACCAAACCACCCCACTATACAAAAGGAAGATCATGAGCATGCTTTAGCAGCAGTATTGTTTCACACTTGCACAGCTATGAATGTGATTGACACTGAATATTTTCAAAGAAGAAACGTAAAAGGTGGGTGTAGAAGCCATTTCTTTGACTCTTCTTACGATGGCTCTTCAAAACAAGTTGCATGTGCTACCGCGGTGTGAATGCTAAAAAGCTTCTAGAGACTTCGTCGGTGTTGTACTATAATCCCTTTCACACACACATGTCACAACTACCCATGCCCGTGATTTTCCAGAAAATAAAATTAGAAGAAGAAGCAGGAATGTATGATTAACATGCACGACCACAACTTCATAGCTCTATGAAAAAAGTCCCAAAAGAAAACCAACCGACAAAGGGGAATCAACACCAAAAATGTTTGGGACGATGTTGGTGAGGAAGTTTGTGAAGAAAAGAAGTAAAGTTCTTAGTTCTTACCTGTGCATGGAAAGCATGAACTAAATTAAGCTATCCACGAGATCTCACATCTCTCAAATTTCCCTAACGTTGGAGATATTGAGTTTGGACCAAGTCAAGAAGAAAGGCTTAATAATGAAGCCAATGAATAAGCAAAGATAATGTGGTTAGCTTGAATGTTGGTTGAAAGTTGAAAAAGAAGCGTTGATGGTTGAAAATAAGAGCACGACAGCGTGGCATTTATCAGTCTCTAAGTCAGAAAGTGCATCTACGCGGTTACGTCGGGCTTTGATTATTGAAACAACGATTCAATTTTATTACGTTTTTGCCATGCTTCTTTTTATATATAAATCTCTCCGTCAACAATCCAAAAATATTTTATTTTGATGAACATGATAGATAAAAAAACATTAAAATAAATAAATGAACAAAAAAATACTATAAAAAATTAAAATAAAAAATAATACTATAAAAGTAACTCTTATCGTATCATACGTTATATGTTTGATTTATATTGAGATAATAAATAAATATCATTATATTATTATTTTTAATGTTTGAGATAAAAGTATAACTCATATTTAAATAATACTTTATTCTTTTATTAAAATTTATGTAAATTTTTCAAATTTTTTTAAATATTTAATTTTTAGTATATATATTAAAAATAATTTTTTATGTACATATAATATAAAAATTTGATATTAAATTATTATAATTTTATTTATTTTTTTACAATTAAAATTTAATTTTTAGTAAGATTTATTATTAAAACAAAAAAAAATATAAGTTTTTTTTAAAATGATTAAATTATTTTTTAATATACTTTTTAAAAAAATTAAAAATATCTTTTTTTTTATAAAATATTTAAAAGGGAATAAGATATTAATTAAAAATATAATAAAAAAATTATCCTATCCCAATGGTTCATAACATCTGACCTTCTTTAAAATAAGAATTTGAACTATACTTTAAGATAAGATAAGTTATCATATCTATTTATTAAAAATTAGAATAAAATATGATAAATTATTATAACTTTTCATTGTTATTTTTTTTTATCTTGTTTTATTCACTAGAAAGTTTTTAGTTTTATTAATTTTTATATGATTCTTTTATGTCTTAAAAATTATAGACACAAACTGTTTTTAAAGGCCTTGATATATCATTGTCATATGCTATAACTTCAATAATTACTTAAATATTTTAAAAACTTAAATATAATTTTTATCCCTATAAATGTAATACATTCTATGATAAATTTTTATAATATTTTTTTTTGTTAAAATTTAGTTCTTAAAATATTAAAATATTAAGATTTAGTCATTTCTATTAACCTCCTATTTCTTAAGATTGAACTGATTAATAAAGAACTAGTTTAATACTTTCATGATATTTCAATGTTATTTAATTTTTTAAATATTTTATTATTTAAAATTAATATTTATAAACAAGCTCTTGAATATATTTTAAATATTAATAAAAAAAAATTTTAACCTCTCTCAACTCTTAGTTTCTCTCAAATAAAAAAACCCTAACCTACTAACACAACGAGCAATTGAAGTCTATAAACAATTGCAAATCAATTATTTTCTTCAAAATCAAAGATATACCACCATCATTTATCACACCTTGACCAAATAGTTAATGCAATAAACTATTAGTCTATATCTCAAACTAATCACCCCCATTTGGTTTACCCAAATACACATCACAAGAAAAATGGCTCAAATGAAACTAACGTGCATGTTGAATCTCAACAAGAGACAAATTAGTAACCACAAACAAAATCCTCTCCTCCTAATTGGGCAAGCAAGAAACCAATAAGGGGTACCAAACCCAAAACATAAGCAACTTTAAAAGCTCCACAACCCTACTAGGCACATCTCTCTTATGCAAGTTGTAACTGCTGTAAAACTATATAAGGACACGTATATTGCTCCAAAAAAATTAAAAATAGATAGATTTTTTTGGAGGATTAGCGGATAAAAATTGATTTAAAAAAATCTAAAATAGTAAAAAATACTGGCTAAATTTTTAGGACAATGGATAAGATGGTAGAGAAAAAATAGTTTGGAGGGTATTGAAAAATGAAAAAAAAATGAGAAAATGACGAAATTTTTATTAAAAACAATAATTAAGAAAATATATAAACAGGAGAGAGGTGTCTTGTGAAAAAAAGAAAGAAGAGAAGAGAAAATTGAGAGAGAAGATAAGAGAGAGAAATAAATAAAAAAAACTAAAGCTCAAAGAGCACTAAAAACAAAGAAAAAAAAAGAGAGGGAGATAGGTAAAAGAAAGGATCAAAGAAGAAATTATGAGAAAATCTCTCCATTCTCAAAGTACACATTCTAAAAAGAATATCATTAGAGAAAAAGAAAAAGAAAAAGAATATAATTTAAAGTTAAGAAAAGTCAACCAAATAGATAAACAAAAGAGCAAAAATTAAAAAACAAATAAAAGTATTTGACAAAAGTGTATTAAATAAGGTTATCTTTCTTTTTTCTAATTCTTTTGGTATTATTGTTCTTGTTTTGTTGTGTTAATTCTATTTTATTTTATTTTTATTTTTACTCTCTTTTGATTCTTTTTTCTAAATGCAATAATAAATCTTAAAAAAAGTAAATTAAATAATATTCTTTATCTCCTTAGTCTTTTGTTTGTATGCTTTTCTTCTTGCATAGTTGTTTTAACATTTTTTCACACCCTTGTTTCTATCATTTGTTTGATTTTTTTTAAGAATAATAAAATATAAAAATAATTTTTATTTTTTAAATAAAATTTAAAAGAAAAAAGTAAAACTTTCAAAAATAAAAAAAATTTCTTATTATGTTAAATTAATAATCTTTCAAATCTCACTTTAACATTTTCAACATGTGAGTGCATTTTGTTTCCTTTAAAATTTAAGTTTTTTTTTGTTTCTATTTCTTTGTTCATTTATTGTTATTATTATTATTATTATTGTTATAAATAAATTGTGTGAATTATTTCTATTTTTTTTACTTTTTATTTTATTATGATTATTGTTATTATTATCTTTGTTATCGTAAATAAATTGTGTAAATTATTTCTATAAAAAAATCACAAATTTAATAGAATTGAAAAGCTTAAAATTAATTTTCTTAAAAATAAAATATATAAATAAAAAAATTTTAATCTACGTAATAGTCAATAAATGTTAAATGAGTGATTGATTCACTTTTTAACATGTTTGTATAGTAAAAGTTTATTGAATAACTATATGTTAACTTGAACTATATGCAATAATAATTTTTTTAAAAAAATTCATGCAAAAATCATTTAATGTTAATTGACTTATAATATACTTTTATTGTTATTTGAATCGTTAGGATTTAAATAAAAGACTAAACAAAAATATTTGTTTTTAAATGAAATTGATAATTTTTAAAAAAAATTCTTTCGTAAAGTAAAAAATAGTCTTTCTCACACGTTAATATAAAATTTTTAAAATACTAAGCATTTTAAAAAATCAAAACTAGTTTTTTAAAGAGCAAGAAAAAATAATATATCAAGCTTGATTTTTTAAAGAATTATGTAACTTTGATTTTTTCATTGAATTCGAGAAATGTATAGAAATGAAAATTTGACTCGTCAAGTCTAAAATAGTTTTATAATTTTTTTTAATTTTAAAATACAAAATATTTATTTAAGATATGTTCTTTATCTAATTTTGAATTAAAAAACTAAAAAATAATTTTAAAATTTTCTTCTTTCTAAAAAATAAAAGTGAAATTGTAACTTTTTCTTAATTTTATTAAGAAAAACAAAGTATCCAAAATAAGTTTTAAATTAATTTCTTTAATCCAAAAAAATAGAATAATATTTTTTTATAAATATCTCATTCCTTTAATTCACATTAAAAAATGGTTTTCTTTCTAAAATTGTGTTTCTTTATTAAAAATATAAAAACTAAAATTTCTTATAAATTATATAAATAAAAAATAAAACTAAAAGAATAATATCAAATTTACAAAT